TGAGAAAATCATGCGCGCGCACACACACACACTGTCCCAGGGTCGACTCATAAGTCAGACCAAGGAGATGCAGCTAAAGTCAGAGGAAGACCGACCAGACCCTAAGAAGGGTCTGAGTAGCTTCCAACTGACCTTTCACCTTCCTAGGAGCTGGAGCAGAGAGCAACAGAGAATAGCACAGGACTTGGTCAGACACAGAGCAGGAATCTCACGCGATGATCGCTCTCTGGGAAGTGGCTCAAGGACTCCCTTATGCCAGGCCCCAGAGGATCAACAGGGTCACTGCAGAAAGCTAAGCTAGTGTCATGCACGAGAATTCTGACATTCACATTGGCTCACAGCATGGTGGTCCAGGTCCAGAAGTAACACAGAAGCTGATTCTGAGCTAGTAAAATGTATATGACCCTCAGCAGACGCAAAAACAAGAGCTGTCTTCAGAAGTGGTGTCATTACCAGGTCTACATTCAGAAAGGAATGCACAGTTCATAAAGGAAATGCAAACACCTTCATTCTTTAATCATTAAAATGTCTGTGAAACTGTAGACACTTCAGGCCAATATTACTTAAAAAGGCAAATGACCAGATGAACAAAGTACCTGCAAGTTTAATAGCTGGTTAAGATTGTACCATCCTGTAATTATAAATCCCTAGCTATAGACTAATAAACAGAAAAATAAGTACAAATAAATCTATGAAAGAAAACTGCCCAGTAAACATAAGATATTTAGTCTTGGAAGCAACCATGAAAATACAAATTAAAACACTAACGAGGTACATTTCACATTTATCAAATTGGCAGAATTCAAAAAACTAATAACCATACAAAGTTAGAAATCATAAAATATATGTTGATCCTAAAACAATCATTTCCCACCTAGAAGCACCTAGAGAAAGCTCTGGTTAGACCCCAGCTGTCTGCGTGGCGGCTATAGCTGCATACCAGGCAAGACAGCAAACCTTTGCAGGATGAACTGTTCTCTACTAAGGAAAATGGAGGAATTGGCAGCCATGACTACGACGGGATATTAAACACCAACTTAAACCAGTTCTACTCTATACTGTTAATACAATACAGGGCTGCTTTAAAACACAAGCCCGGGATGGGAAGAAGTGTTGCAGAATGGTGTGGTACGATAGTGCTGGTGGAAAAAATTAAATCATAGCCTACTTGTGAAATGCTTCAGCAGCTATATATTGTTCTGGGATGACAGAAACAAGTGAGGAAGATGCTGACTAAGGCCTCAGGCAATGATTTCAACTTTGTAACGCTCCACTTGCTTTTTTTTGAAAATGTGGAACAATGTAAAGCATATTAAAATTCTTACTGCTATGTGATGGGTACAAAGATATTAATCTTTATATTTAAAAAACATTCCTTAAATGGAAAAACACTATGAGGAAAATAAAAGAAACCAGATACCTTGGTCCTATACAATCTCTAAGAGTTGCAATCAAATCTCAGAACATCAGAAACACAAGGTGACCACAAGTCTGCACACACAAGATACTTGGTCTTGCATTTCTTACATGCCCCTCATCATGCAAGGCAATGGAGTAAAACCCTGCAGGCAGCTTAGTGGAATGCAGCTGGAGCCCCAAATGCACTAGGCGTGTGGACATCTTGGCATCTTTTCAGCATCTCCTTCCTTAATGCTCCTAGGTTAAAGCTACCGTTCTAAAATGTGGAAGAGATGTGAACTAATTATAAGCCCAGCTATAGATTAATAAACAAATATAGAATAAGTACAAATCTATGAAAGAGAACTTCCCAGTAAACATAAGATTTAGTCTTGGAGGCAACCATGGAAATATTAAAACACTAATGAGGTGCTTTTCACATTTATTCTGAAGTTCATCTCCATGGTGCCTTCTTGCTTTAGGCTTTACTAGTCCTGCCATCAGTTTGACCAATTGTCAATCATTCCATCCATTACTCTTTCTGTATTTGTTTGCTCACTTTTGCTTTGGTGTTCCTGAAGTCGTGTCATCTTTTTCTGAAAACTCAGTCTTTCTTAAACAGTCCTTTCCCTTCTACAAATCTAATGCATTGACAGCGAAGAAGACAGTGAGCAATGCCCTGCTATGGTAGCATCCATGCCAACTACCCAACTTGAATCTGCTTTCCGCAATTAAATGTGCTCCCTCCCATTATCAATAATTGACTCATTTCATTTGTCTTTGACTTTGTAAGCATTCAGGAAATAGAACTGTGTTTAAGGCTCTTTACATGATAATGTAACTAATGCTTATATGTAGCGTTTTCTGTGGTCGCACTTGGAGAAACGAAATGCTATAAAAGCAAAAGGAGACAACACTTGGCACATATACTTCAGACATTGTACTTTCATGATAGTAAAAAGTTGGTTTGTTACCCCACAAAGAAAGATACATAGTTCAGAAGCTCCATAAAATGTTGCTTGATAACTGATAGCATTTTCAACTAGAGCATCTGTACTGGAATTCTGAACTTTTTATTGTAGCAAAAGACAAAACGTCTAAATAACAAGATAATGAAACCAGCCTTTCCAGCACTTCTGCTGGTCTACAGAAGATAGAACCCTTTAGGGCTGTGGACAGGATTTTGGTATTTTTAAGATTTAGAAATAAGTATTGCTCCAAAAAAGAATGGCAATTTTGCATAGCTGAAAACTAAAATAGTAAATCAAGAAGGGAAGACTGTAAGAGCCCTTGGGCATTCCATGAATTGTGCACGGCCCAGGTACATTGTATTCTGCCAGCAAGTACATTTCAAAGTGTCATTTGCCACATCACCATAAACCAAAATGCTCTCCCAGTGCATCAAAAGCTTTACCACATTCCTTCTTAGTGCAAGACTTAATAGCCACAAATTTTGCCTCTTCACCCCCACTACCCCCGCCATAGAGAATGAACTTAGTCACAGATACCTGTGTTTGTGCACGGCAACATGTCACAAATCTGACACTCATGTACAATAAAGCAAGACTTTGATTCTCAAGATGTTCTCAGAACAGCCCAGGGGAGAATATCAAAGCTCAAGCGACGGCAGACCCGTTCACACATTCAGGCAAACAGGAGGGCTTTACCTTTGTCTTCGTCTCCTCCCTCTGCAGCAACTCCTTCTCTTTCCAAAGTTTTTCTTTCTCCTCCTCCCTTTCTCTTCTTCTGATGGAAATTTCCATTTCCAGTCTCGCTAGCTCTTCCTGGTGGGCTCGCCATTGCGAAACCTGGAACACATAGACCCTTCCTTTCAATAACTATGTGCTATCACATGATTACACATGGGACAAGCTTCTGTGTAGAGGAGAGGACTCAGGTTTTGCCAAAGGTAAATACAAATTTTATGTGTGTTTGTGGATATAAGTGTACAAGTTAGTATAGAAAATGGCAAGCTTAAAATACCTCATTCACTCTTTAGTTGAACTCGGGAAGTCATAAAATTTATGATTTTCCTGCAAAGAATCCATGACTTCCATAAAATTGTTAGGCCAGGAGAGTAGGCCCGCTCCTGACAACCACCTGGAGCACCGGGACCCACAGGCTGGACTACCCAGAGATCTAGAAAAAAAAACCAAACATGTCTGGAGAAAAAATGAGAGAGGTCACTGCAATGATGCCTAACGATTTTCTGCTACACTCAGATTGGGTCCTAGCCCAATTGTCATCAGAGAGGCTTCATCCAGCAACTGTTGGAAACAGATGCAGAGATCCACAGCCAAACATTAGGATGGAGTTCGGGGAATCCTGTGGAAGATGGGGAGGAAGGATTGTAGGAGCCAGAGGAGTCAGTACATCACAAGAAAACGCACAGAAATAACTAGCACAGGCTCAGAGAGGCTCACAGTGATTGAATCAAAAACCAGGAGGGTGCCTGCAAGGGACTGACGTAGGCCCTGCTGCATAGGTGTGACAGTTGTGTAGCTTGATCTTCTTGTGGGACTCCTAACAGTGGGAGCAGGGGCTGTCTCTGAATCTTTTGCTGGCTTTAGGAACCCTATTCCTCACACTGGGTTGCCTTGCTCAGCCTTAATACATGGGGAGGTGCTTAGTCTTACTATAACTTGATATGCCATGTTTTGTTTATCCATGCGGGGCCTACACTTTCCTGAACAGAAAGAGGAGAAGCCGTTTTAGGGGTGGGAGACATTGAAGGGTTGTAGGGGGCCGGACTGGCAGGAGAGGAGAGAGGGGGAAGTGCAGTTAGAATTACACACACACACACCACACACACCACACACACCACACACACCACACACACCACACACACCACACACACCACACACGGTAAACGGAGCTATCAAGACAACTCAGCAGATGAAGACATGTTCTGCCAAGCTTGATGAACTGAGTTCAGTCCCCACATGGGTCAGAAAGTCTGTTCCATTTCTACACGTTTCCCTCTGTCCTCCATATAAATGCTGCGGCACAAGTGTACCCATTCGCACAAACACACACAAAAAATAAAAATGCAAATTTTTAAAATTAAAGCTTTAATTGCTATCTTTAAACTATAGACTATATATGATTTGGAAAAGAGACTGTTCCAAACAACGATCAAGGAAAAACCATCTGTTCTATCCTTTTTTGTCTGGTCACTCAGAAATAGGAGTGTCTTCAGCTATGCTGGCTGCTGCTCGCCGCCTCACGGTATTTATCCATGTATTCACCCAGCCCACTCTCCCTCCCACAGATGTGAGCCCCCTTTTCACACAGTGATATGCCCCATCTCTGGGGTTTGTCTGTTGACTGACGTCACCTGTTTGGAACACTTCTGTCCCCTGATCACCGCATTTCAGTTGTTGCCAGAGAAAATATCGTGACTGGGTTTTTCCCTGCACCTGTCTCATGACAGGGTCCTGACCTACTCGCACAAGTAGCTGAACACGAGTCAGATCGTTCAAGAACCAGACTGCTGGCTGCATCAGACTCGTCTTTGTTACAGGTCGTTCATCAGTTTTGTAAGGTCTTCAAAACATGGCTTCAGTTTTTCTTACAATCTAATCTTTAGACTTCCTGACGTGTAGTCATGAAAATGTAATTTAAAAAGTAAGGTAGAGCAATCAAGGAGGGATACTCGATATCTATCACAGGCCTCTACACATATGGACATACATCCACATACACACATGCATACATTCACCAACACATATACAACCACGACCCAAACTCTGGGATTGGTCCTAGGACCTTAAAAGGTTTAAGAAGTGTTGACAGAGATTTCAGTCTCATTATTTCATAAGTATGGAAAGTGAGCATTAATCAAAATGAAAACATAGAAGAAACTTCATGGGGTATGGGTATGTGCTATTGGTAGACAAGTACACAGCTTTTACCAATATGTAAATATATCGCAATATAAAGTACATATAGCCTTTTATTCATATCCCTGCCTCCAGGAAAACCATTGTGCTGGTTAGTTTTTTTTGGTTTTTTTTTTGTTGTTGTTGTTGTTGCTGTTTGATCAATTGACACAAACTGGAGTCAGCTGGGCAGAGGGAACCATAATTGAAACAATGCCTAAACCCGTGGGACATATGTGGGAGGGGCCAGCTCACTATTAGCACCACCCCTGAGCAGCAGGTGGTCATGGGTTCTCTAAGAAAGCTGGCTGAGCAAAGCTATAGAAAGCACAGTAATAAAACAGCGTGCCTCTACGGCCTCTGCTTCAGTTCCTGCCTCTACATTCCTGCTTTGAGGTTCTGACCTGACTTCCCTTCAGGGTGAACTATAAGCTAAAAGCTGTAAACTGAAATAAACACTTTCCTCCCTGTGCTTTTGATCATGGTATTTTATCCCAGCAACAGAAATCAAACAAACAACCATCAACTAGACAAGTGCACAGAAATGTACCGCAGCAATGCTCTCTGCAGTGTAGTTTAAAACAATTTGAGAAAAGTCTAAAGGCCCAAGGCCCAGCAATAGAGGTTGGCTTAAATCAATTTTGGTAAATTCATAAATACCTATGGTTGAGAAAAGATGCTAAATTTCTGTATTTGTTGATGTCTATATTTTAGATGCAAGACACAATGTAAAACCATATTTATAGTATGATCTCATCAGCATAAAGTTGTATCTACGCAGAGAGAAACTTGTGGAAGGAGTTTTGCCCACATGATAATAGAGCCTCTCAACCTTATTTTGAAATATTAAGTTATTCTAACCTTTCTATATCTAAATTAATATATCCTAAGCTGGGTATATTTTTTAATGTTTTATAAACAAGTGAGACTAAAGAAATTATCAACTTTTTCTGGCCCCTTCTACACATCTGCCTGACAACATAGTGAAGAAAAACACACAAGTGTGCAAAACTTCTTACTTGCAAAATTAATGTACTATCTTTAGTAAGTGATTCAAGCATCATTCATTAATAACACACAATTAAAAATGGAAAAATGTCACCCAAATACGAGTAAAGTGCCTCTAAATCATTTGGCTCTTTAAATATTTTATATTAAATTTTAGTTTTCTAAGAGTATGTTTTGCCATGTCTATGAAAATAAAAACACCTCCTGGCTTGCAGCTACAGTCTCTACCCCATCAACCACTAACCAGCGAGGCTTAGTTATATAGACCTAAAATATATTGTCTATGCCCGGATCCTGCTATGAACCTTGCCTTTATCTTTTATCTGCAACTTCTACAGTCCAAATCAAATGTCCTGACAACTGTTGCCAACAGTCTCCCTGAACACTCAAAGGAGTCTGGCCTCTCCACCTGTTGGCAATCCTGCAAAGAAAGGATTCTTTCCCTTTGCATGTCATGGCATAGCTCCTCCCCCACCTTCAACACTGCGTAGTTCTCTCTCCTTGCCCCTTGCCGGTTCAACCCCATACCCTCTTTCTCCTTCAGTCTTACTCTATGATTTAATCCTGTTCTGTGAAGTCTTGCCTTGGGGAGACTGACTGCAAAATCTACATTAGCAGCTTTTTTCTGCCTGCAGTCCAGCTCTAAATTCTTAAAGCTCCTATTTGCTAGTGCTTCTAGCATCCAGACTTCCAAAATTAAACTTGGGACCTGTGGTGCTGTCAAAGCTTCATACCAAGCCCCAGGGTACATGTCTCTCAAACACCTGCTTCTGTCAGTGGGACCACAAGTCTCTCTGGAGTATGGGTTATTTTCACTGTGTAAACCCAATAATGTTTCTTTGTATTTCACAATCTGTTATGTGTATAACACGATGACTTTATATTTATGTATATATAGTTTGATGATTTATATATGTATTTACTAATCCTTAGATGAGATTTCCTTTATGAGAAATCAATTTCAGAACCATTGAGATTGGTTGTAATTGTCTAACTCATTTGGCTAAGTGTGTTTAATAAGACTGGAAGGTTCACGAGGGTAATGTCAATTAAGTTGACTTCCTCTCTCTCTCAACTCCACATTACTCTTGCTTGTATGTACTCCCTAAGCGAGCTTCTTCCTTGGCTCTGCCTTTAACAGCCATCCTTACAGGTACTCTTGTCAATGGTATGTTAACACCAATTCTTCAAATAATTTCAAGAATTATTTAATCTGTATGAGTGTTTTGCCTGTATGTCTGTGTACCATGCACATGCCTGGTACCTACAGCAGCCAGAATGGAGTATTAGATCTCCTGAAGCTGGAGCTACAGACAATTATAAGAAGCCATGTAAGTCCTGGGACTTGAACACAGGTCCTTAAGAGCAGCAGCCATTGCTCTTAACCACTGAGCCATCTCTAAAGCCCCCAACTCATTATCTTTAAGTTCAAGGAATGAAAGATACAAACACTCCCTACTTGGAATGTCCTTGATTTCCTCTGTTTCACAAGATGGTTTATCACTCATCTGGGGCCCAAAGCATGGCTCACAGCTTTCAAACCCTCTCCAGCACATGCACCGCTGTCTTATTTCATACACCACGCCATCACTACTCACTAATGTGCTGATCGGCTGTTTCCACTTAGAACATATTTCATAATTTGCCTCCTCCGTATACTGTCAGGCAGAGCATTTGTGCATGATAGGTACCTAATGATAATCTTCTATGTAATTAATCAAACTATACAGTTTGCCCAACAATTTGCCTAAGTTGCCATTTTCAGGCATTTTAAGTACAAAGAATCCCTCTCCCATTCTTGAGAAAGAAAATAAAGGATTTTTTTTTGAAGGCTTCAGATAGACTGTACCACGAAATTGTGAAACTTACAGGCAAGTTCAATAATCACAAATTATATGTCATGTAACACATAAGCAAGA